ATGGATCATTTTATTGAACCTATTACTTGTGTACCTTTTGCTGTTTCTAGAATATTGTAAGAATATTCTCTTATATTTAAATGTTTAATTTTAATTACATTTATATCAAATGATAATATATTACTAATTGTTACACTGTAAATTTAGAAAACCGGACACAATGGTACACTCGATACGAGAACATAAATTGGATAATAACTTTGATAATATTTATACAGAAGTCGTCAATTGCATTGCAAAAAGCAAAAAATCAACAAAGTAATTTTATATATATACAGAGTGTCCTATGATTGGTGATACAAATAAACATGTAAAATTACTGTTATGTGCTTGTATCATCAATTATAGGACACTTTGTATACTTTAACAAATATTTCTATAAACAAATGTATTATGTATTATATGCATTATTTTTTGATTATTTAAATAGATACAATAACTAATCCTTGTTTTAATATGAAATATATTATATTGTTAATTTATATGAATAGAAAGGTGGAAGAAAAATTGGCAACGGAAGAAATTGAAGAACAGGAAGAACAAAGACTGAGAGATGCTGAAAGCTTCCTGAAAAGTCTTAATCTTTCTGGTATAGAGCATAAACTGAACACACAAATAATTCATATGTTAGAAAAATATAAAACACGAAAGGCAAAATTAGAAGAACGTCAAAGAGAAGTTAATAGAAAATTATATTTGTAATAATATATTATTATAAAATAATCAGAAAAATGATTTTATTTCTAATTTGTGTTGTAGTGGAATTTAATGTCAACCAAAAAATTGGATTCTAATATAAATCAAGCAGATGATATAGCAGCTATTGAATTAGCTAAACAAACGATCGGTGTGTACAATTTGAAAGATTCGCCACAATTAAATGTACAAAATGAAATAGAAAATTTAACGATGATAAAATACAAGCAATATTTAGATTGTAAAAAAAGGGTAAGTATGTTTTCATTTTAATACAAATATTTCTTCTTATTAATCAATTTATTTTTTATGGATAAATATATGAGATAATATTAATGACACAGCTACATCATCTACGTGATAATTTCAATACAAAATTAAAGGAAGTTCGAGAAAATAAGCAGATTTTGTGTTCAAAAGTTTTAAAATTGAATGAAACGTTAAAGAAAATTCATACGGAAATACCCAAAAAATATATTAAAACTTTACCCAATTTACCAATAATTGACAATAATGTTGAATTTCCTGAAGAAAATTTGAAAGTATGTTATGAAATAATGTTATATAATTAGAGATGAATTTTATTTAATAAAATATTGATATAGACAAAATGTTGTTATAGTTTGAAAAATATATATCAATGGCGGAACAAGCGAAGGAAGCTAAATATTACAGAGAATCAATATTTTTATATGAAATTCCTGATTTAATGGATGATACAATGGATGAAGAATATGAAGTATTATTTTTAAAAAATAATAATATTCGTGCAAGTGAAGAATTTCATTTATCAAATATTATAGATAATATACCTGAGAAGAAAATGAAAGTGAAATCACTTGTTCAACCAAAGTTATTTCAAGAATTGGATTCTGCCGATAACGTTGAAACAGCATGGGAACGTGAAATGAAACAATCTCGTATATTGCGTAAAATTTATGATCAAGATTGTATTTTACAATATATTGAAAATTCTTATAAAGAATTTGATAAACAATTGGACAATCTACAAAAGGAAAGACTTGACATTGTTGCGGAAAGTGTATATGTAGAATTACACTTGTTAACGCTTCATCAGGAATTTATCATATTGAAAGATTACGAAAAGAAAGAAACTTTATTAAAAAAGAATGTCAATGAAAAATTAGAAGAACAAGCTGCTATAAAATTAAAGGTTAATATAAACAAAACAAAACAAAACAAAAAAAAATACTTCATGTCCCCCTACAATTTTTGTTATTTATTTTAATACAAATTTGGATATAAGAGATTTTATTTATAAAAATATTTATTACTTTTTTTAACATTTATAATTATTTTATTATCAGATACATACAAGTAATAATAAAATAGAACGTAAAAAGAAAAATATTAACAGATTAAATGAATCAATAAAAGACATTACTTACGAATATATGGCGAGTATTAAAGATAAAAAATTTAAAGACTTTTTACGTAAAATATTTAAAAAGAAATTCAAATTGCCGAAGGAGCATAAAGGTAAATAAATAAATGATTTTCTTAATACAAACAAGTACGATAAATACGTTGAATTGAATTAAAATGATTTTCATTTTGTTAGACTCTGAAACATCGAGTACTACAACGACTGAAACAAGTTCAGAAGAAGATGAAACAGGAAGTGTGGACAGTAAAGATATTGGATACATTTATTTTGATGAGAATATATGTCCCATAGGCTGTGACAAAGAATTATATGATATGGCATTTGTTATGAGAGAAAAACGTTATGAACATGAGCATGAAATTAAAGAGGAATACAAGGCGATAGAAAAATTACAAAAGGAAATGGAACTCGATATAAAAAAATTAAAAATCATTGATGATTTGCATAAAACCAATGTCGATGAATTAGAAAAGTTTATGGTAGATATAAAATAATATGAAGAATAATAAAAATACGTATATATAATAAAATACAGATTCATGTATAATTATTTGATTACAGTTGGAGAAACAAAAGAAGTTGAATGACATAGATGTAACGATAGTTCTTAAATTTCATCAATTGCAACATTTTATTAATTCTTATAGCGTGTCGAGCATAAGAGAATCTATTATATTTGATAAAACAAAATTATCTCAATTACACGATAGAGTTGGAGAATTACAGCAAGAAACACATGACTTATACGCTAGACAAAAGTATACTAAAATTCACATATTTAATATTATATAAAAATAATAGAAATTAATATCATTATTTTATTGTAATGCATTTTTGATTGCAGGGCCAATAAAGTTCATCTTTATAGAATGAAAATTGATTGTAAACATATGAAAAATGAAATAAACAATTTAAAGAATGAAATAAAAGATGAAATGAAAAAGAAATTTGGCCAAACAATATCATTAACGACTATGTATGAAACAGTATTACAAAGAATGATCTATAATATTAAAAGTGATTTAACAGAGATGATGAAATCGTATGAAGAACAACTTAAATGTATGTATGTGTGTGTGTGTGTGTATTTAGAAATGAACAAATGTTGTGTAATTAATTGAAATAAAAATTATTATACATTTGAGATAATTATATTTTGTAGGTATTCAAGAAAAATATAATTCACAGCAAATGGTGTTAGGAAAACTTATCCAAGATAATACTGAAAAATTAAGTTTTTTAACTGTCCTTGAGGAAGAACAATTAAATCTTCGAAAAATATTGAAACAAGTTCCTATATCCGAGGTAAATATGACTAAAAAAAATGTTGTTATACAAGCTAATTTAAATGATTTAAATCATTTTAGGAAGAAATGTTAAAAGTAGAATCACAGTACAAAGCAGACATAGTCAAATTTGAGAAAATTATTGCTCATCAAGAAAAACAAAAAGAAATATTTCAAGCCGATATAAAAAATCTTAGCATGAAGACTAGACTAGCATTACCTCCTATTTGTGATAAATCTGATAACAACAAATCTATGAACGAATATGAACGTAACAGTGAAATCAATAAATTGTCAACTAATACAGGTAAAATGACATTAAATATTCTATTTAATATTATAAGTATGTACGAATGATCTTCTATTTTTAAATTTATCAGATAATTGTTGTTAACAGTATTTAAAAATATATTTTTATAGGAAACTCGAGTTATCGCGAAATAATCATGCCATCGTTAAACATTAAAGAAAACAATTTGGCTGCATTGGTTTGTATTATTTATCAAATATTAATCATTATATTTTTATAACTGTTATAATATATAATAAAATATAAATAATAGGTCTATTATCTAATCTCACGAGTCATAGAATCGTTGTTGGGAACAGAACAAGTAAATGTATTAAAAGATGAAACATTTCAAGAAATTTTATCAACTGTCACAAATATCAGTAATATTGAGGAAGCTCAAGATAGTATCAAACTAATTATCGAATATGTTGAAAACATTCTACCAGTTAATGAAAGAGAAACGATTAAGATCGTGCATGAAGCGATTAAAGAAAGTTTAAATGATGTTATACAAAGGTTTGATATTGACATTAATAATTAAAACGTTAGAAATTAGAATCAATAATCAAAATCATTTTTAAATGTTATATTCTATTTACAGAAAAATAACTTTGGATGCAAAGGTGAAAGATAATTTATAAAAAAACGATTACAAAAAAATTAAAAAATAAACATTCCAAAGTAATCTAATTATAACAAATTGCAATCTTTATTCGAAAAATGTAAAGTTCTTTTATTTTATAATTTAATATAGACATTTGTACATAATAGAATCTTCTTTAGTTCTTTAATCGATGTATAATAACAATTCAATGATTATTTCCCTTAATATTATCCGCTAATTTACGAAATAATTACAATATAATTTAACTTAATCATGGAAGATATTTTTCATTATAAATATATACAAAGTTATTAATATTATTGTAACGTAATATTGCGTTTAGTTTAGAATTATTAATCTATAGCTTTTTCTTAAACAAAAAGTTCAAAATTATCAAGAAAATTCAACTGTTTCGAAAGTTATTAGTTTATATATAATAACATTGTGTCGCATTATGATTGTTAAATTATTTTTAGAATTTATTTGTAGTATAAATGGAAATAAAATGAAAAAATAAGGGAATCTTCCTCTTGTTTTCTTGAAATTAATGAACAAAAAAGAAAAAGAAAAAGACAAAAAGAATAAACGGTATAAAAGCTTCGAGTAATTATAAAAATATTTCCAATATATTCTATTTCTAACTTACTATCTTATCGTTATTATTAAAAAATACTATATTAACAATTGATCTAAAAATTATCAATATAAATACACTGCTGCCTGATATGTAAAATCAAAACTTTGTACAATAAGAAAATAATCATATTAATTAATTTCTCGAACATTTATAATAATAATATAAATAAGTAATAAATCAATAGGAAACAACATCATTGCAATCTCGTACTCGTAATGTAAATTTAATTAAAAATTAACATTAACACTTTGGCATCAGGAAACGTTTCGAGCCGAAATTTACTCAAGACCGGGAAAATTTCGCAATTTTTGGTTTCACTTTCATTACATTGAGAAGAAAAACTGGTCTAAAGTTAAAATCAATAATTATTTTCTAAGGAAATTTTGGGAAACGTAGTCAATTATTTGATCGTATTATAATATAAATTTGTTAAAATTCAATTATCAGAATTTTTCAACTTGTGAATAGTGATAGCTGTTTATTTCTTAGCAAAAAAAAAAAAATATATATATGAAAATTTCAATAATCTAATTTTACGTCATCCGGTCGCTATCAGAAAACATGCATTACGCATATATGTTTATCCGACGCCAGTGTTAATTAAAATTGTCATGTATATAATCGATAATTATTATTGAAAAAATTACCTTGTGTTTAAGTTATGATAAGTCAGTCCTTATCAATGCTGCAACGAAAGAAAAAAAAAAGAAATAACCAAGTTTTGTAGATAACAAAATTATTCTAATTGTATGTTGGATGACAAATATGAATAAATTTTGTCACTTCTTTGTGAAGCTCTTCAAAATGGGATAAATATTATCGAAAGCTTCATAAATTTCTTGCCGAATTTTGGCACCTACAAAATTATTTAACCCATAATTAGAAATTTGATTTAACACACACAAAAAATATATATAAATATTTTCAAATATAATATTGTAACTTACCAGTAAGCACAACTTTTCCAGACACAAATATAAGTAATACTATTCTTGGTTTAACCATTCTATATATCAAACCAGGAAATAATTCTGGTTCGTAGGAAGAGAATTGTCCATGTGTAAGTACCAAACCTTCTAGCCTAATAGGAAATTTAACGTCGCAACTTCCAACCATATTTTGTATTTTAAAGTCCAGAAATTTTGCCTAGATATACAATCAAACAATTAAAGATACCTAATGAAAATATTGATTCTAAGTAATAAATAAATAAATCACAATGAAATACTAACTGGAAAACCTAACTTTTGAATAATTCTAGCATATTTTCTTGCTGCCAAACGAGAATCTTCTTCACTTTTAGCACCTGTACAGACCATTTTTCCGCTGCTAAATATGAGAGCAGTTGTCCTAGGTTCTCTTATACGCATGATAACAGCTGCAAATCTTTTTGGATTGTATTCGGCATTTCTAGCGTGTAAGGCAATTTTTTTTAAATCTAATTTACAACTTAGATTTACGGTGGATACGATATTTCTGAAATATCAAAACAAATATTATAATCTTGTCATTTATATAACAGAAAATCTAATAATGAAGTTATATACTGTAGTTGTGGTAAAATGCCAGGATCTGCGGAAGCAGGAGTCATAGGTGTCATAGGTCCAGGTGTAGATGGTCCTATAGATGATGGTGCAATAGGATTGTTCGGTTGTCCTAAAGGAGACATCATGTTTTGCTGTAAAAATTACAATAAGGTATATTAATGTTCTATCTTCACTGTTACCCCCCTTCGATATGATTTAACCATATTATACTATTTATCTTATTTATTTAATTACCGGTGTTTGCGGCTGCATAAGACTTTGAGGTGTAGCAAAAGACGGAGTTGGTGCATAAGTATGCATGGTTTTTTGAGGCGTTGTTATCATAAGCATACTGCCCTGTACACTTGGACTCATAGAATGTAATTGTTGCAACTGATACTGCTGTTGTTGTTGCTGTGGTTGTTGTTGCTGTTGTTGTTGCTGTTGCAATGCATTTGGTAATATCTGTTGATCCTCTTCTGGCTGATGTAAAGGAGTACCAATGCTAGGTATACTGAACCCAGGACTCGGTAGCATTTGATCCATTTTAACGTTTTAAATAATATTGCTTCAAACACAATCAATATTATTAAAATATAATGAAAGATAGATTTTGTATATTAATAATATTTCACACTTTTATTTTGATATGCATGAGTTTTAATGTTTACTTAATAAGATCGATCAATTAATGTAATGATTATTATTCATATTTTCATTAAAACACAACAAATGATTAATATTCTATAAGAATTCAATATTTATTCATAAGTTCACTCATAGGTTATCATAAATTTAAATGTTCTTTTTCTTTTTCATTCACGAACGTTAAAATTTCCAACGTTTATGTTACATTTGTTTACTATAGTCATACGTAAAATTTTATTTGATTTATTACTGATACCAACCAACCACGTATGATTTTTCACATATACGACTGTTCTTACACTTTAATAGTGTTCTATTGGCCAACGTAGGAAAAAACTAAGTCCATATTTGCGTGGTCTTTAGGACTACTGGCACGTGTCCTAGGGACTTTTTAGCTTTAATCACAACAGAAAGAATTTGATCTTTAAGTAAAATAATAATTAAAAGCATCAATCGTATAATAAGTATCGAAATAAAATGAAATTTAACCAAACATTTAATGGTACTGCATTTGTTTTTTCTTTTAGAGTGTTTCTTTTTTATATGTAGTATGGAGGGTTATAGTTTTTTTTAGTGAATAGTAGAAAATGGCGCTTAATTCAAAATATTAATGAAACATTCGTAGGAAATAAATATAGCATTTATTATTTAACAATGTATATTATTTCAACGAAAAAAAAAAAAAAAAATAAGAAATAATATTTATTTTCTTGTTATTAAAAAGCTTTTTCTTCAAATACTTTCTTCATTTTGTTTTTTTTTTTCTACAAATAGACATGAATAAGTGACATATTTGATTTGTCTACAATGTAGACAATTAATAGACTATCAGCGACATGAAATCGTAAGCTTCGCTTGTACTAATATCAGGTTTTGTTCAAACGTTCAATTGTTACATTACAATGGAATAAATTGTATCCACCAATACAAGATGTACAATACTATATAAAAATATAATTTGTTCATAAGTATTGTACACCAATACCAAATTGAAATTGTCGCAATACATCACTCCTAACAAATAATAAAGGCATTATTACATTTAATTCTATTCTTGCAGCATTTCCAAGCTCCATTGCAATACCTCCTCCAACAGAACAACGAACATTGTCCGTAAATATCTTCATGTTTTCTTTATAATTATTAGCTGAAAAAGAAATGATATCTCAATAATATTGTCAATACTATAAAATATATATATATATATATATAAAAATACCATATTATATTATATTATTTATATAAAACCTTACCAAGTTTAGGTGTAAAATTAGAAAGATTACCACCATTGATAAAACCATGTAGTTTAAATAGGTCACCAAAACCATTACGACCCGGCCTGAATGGAAGAGGTGTGTAAGCGTGTAAAGCAGCTGACCAATATACGTCACCGCCTGTAGCATTACCTTCACTACGAGGGCCACAACCTCTCATATCAAAACCTCTCACATTTAATGGTCCACCCAAGAAAAAGTGATCAATAATACTAATTTTCATTTCATTATTAATGCTTCTTAACAATCCTGCTTGAGCAGCTACTTGGAACGTCTACATTAAATAATAAACATATACAAATATATAATCACACAAATTATATTAAGATATCTTAAATAAAATGAAATTGCATATACAAACAATTAAAACATATGAACATACTAACAAGGTACTTATGTGGTGACCAATTGCTTTGCATCATAAGTTCATTTTTTATAAAACCGATATCACCACCTAGGCCAGCAATTTCACTAGAAAATTGAATAAAATTTCCTCTAGTTGGAAATAGTCTCGCGTCCCTTTTATCAATTGAACAAATGTGTTTTAAAGATGATTTTAAACTTGGACCACATTGTTCGCGAACACTAAACGATGACTGTCTAGAGCACGATACTTGTCTAAATGCTGCTTCGTATTGAAAATTGTGCTTTAATGTATTTATTGCTCCTGTATACCAGGCTATGTCCAATAAAAGGCCATTATCTCTCTCCGTATATCCAGACCATGGAAAATTACTTGATGTACTATATATACTACCTGTTAATCTAAAATTTATTTAACTCGTTAAAATGATGTCATCTTTTATATACCATGTGTGAAAAATAAACTGTTTGACTATATTTACATTGTATGCAACCAATCATTTATAAATGGTTTAATAGTAGAGATATTTATATTACTGGAACTCTTATTGCCATATGAATATTCTACTTGAGCTTTTTCTCCTCTTCCAAAGATATTAGGTGCTTTTGCACCAATAAGAATTGATCCTTCATTATTACCCACCATTGTGTTTATTGACCCCATCAGACGACTCATCTCTCGGACAGTAAAAGTTACCTAATTAGATTTATAATGTTTAGATTAATATATACAAATACATGCACGTGCACGTGAATGTATATCATACATATGCCTATCTAAATAATTATTTTTTTCAAGACATTCATATGTATTTTTGACAAAAAAACCCAAATTTTATGTTGTAAAATCTATTGTAATTATACTTTAAATGAAATTTCAATCTGAGAAATTACTTATTCTTTGTTGAATTAGTGTAATTATATAGACCCACTTCTACACCTTCTGGGGTAGCATTAGGACCTTCACTTATATCGATGAAGATTCCAATATTCTTAAAGCATCCTAAAGCTTCCAGTTTTCCTCGTACTTTATGAGCACGCACAATAACATCTTGAAAATCATGAGCTTTAAAGAGTTCTGAAACTTGTGATTTTATAATATCGTCCTTCGTACGGCCAAGTCCATCAATGTGTATTTTATCAACGCGTGCCTATTAAAATAAGAAAAGACAATCAGTCAGTCATTTTTAAATATATAATTATCGAATAATAATAACTTACTTTTATTGCTTGTAAATCAACCATTTTTGTCTGTACATTTTTCTTCTTTTCAAAATCATGTTGTGTATTATTATAAGCTGACTGAAATAAACAAAATTGTGAATGAATAAATTATTTCAAAATGTCTTCTATTAAAATTTTCAGTTATTTTACAAAGTTTTCCATGCAAAGATTTTCAATTTAATTTCAATGAAAATAAAAATATAATTACATGCATCTTTTTACTCGTAAAACGTTGACCCATATTTTTTGAAGTACCCAGATCCTAAAAGATTAATACAACGTTATGGAGTCATGTTATAAATGACTTGTAAGTCGTCATATCTTAATTTAGAATGAGATTTTTTTCTAATAAAAAGTCATTTAACTGTATATTCATTTATATCTGTATATGAAGTTTTATATATGATTTTCAAAATATATATTAATAATACATGAAAATTATCAACTGAAAACCATTGAAATAATTACCACGCGTAAACTAACAATTTATCGTTAAGGTTATGTGATACTCAGATTATAACATATTATTTATATACCTTGGCATGAACAGTTCCCATTTTTGTAATTATTCACAACTTGGTTTAAGAAAGTAACAAATAGTAAAAATGAAATTTATATAAACGTTTATGTGAATAATGTTATTTATAAAAACACGTCTCTAATTTTTTTTAAATTAACCATAGAACAAACGAGAGTTGGTGTTAAGAACCGTAACCTTCAATATGAAAGATCGTCTACAACTTTAATTCCATACATGCACAATACAGTGGCGCAATGATAAGTTGGTACTTTAGTGCAATAATGTAACAAAAATTCAAGAGAAACTATGGTCATAATGATTTCATCATGTGTCCGCTAGGTTTATCGGTAGGCTTAACAAGTGAATCTTTTTTTTTTTTTTTATAATATATGTTATAACATATATTTATTTAAACATTTAAATAATTCAAAAAATAAATAGAATATAACAGAATAATTAAAGACTAAATATTTGTAAACTTTTTGATTAATGACTTCGTTTTAAGTTCTTAGAATCTATTTCCATATTCGACTTAATTATTGCACTTAATAAATATATAACATATATAACTTGTTTTTATGTTATTATTAGAAAAAAAGATAGAAAAAACATTTGGATAATTTTATTTTACAAATAGATAAAATATTTTATAAATGTATAACTGAAAATATATTATATATGTATATTTATATAAAAGCGAGTATTAAAGAGATAATATAGTTAAAGTTACATGCCATGAAAAATTGTATCCAAAATTTTATAGGGCAGCTGGACCAACTCGAGATGTTGTAGTTATAGGAGATACAGGACTACCATGAATTTCTAAATCAAATTCAGAGTTGGATAATGATCCTCTTATAACTCTATTCCATCTATCTGCACTTTCATTACTTAAAACATAATGTTGAGAATTGTCTGTACTTGTATTTGGTTGTGCGCTTGCACGCAATGCTTCTTGATGTATAATAATTTCATTAGTTATGTATGCTTCACGGCGTATCTTGTCTCGTAGTTTTGGACTAATATTAGGAATGCACCAACGCACAAGAATCATAACCATGGCTACTATATTCTGCAAATAATACAAATTACCCATATAATAATAATTTTGTTAATGATAATTTTTCAACATTTAATTTAATTACTAATAATAAGCATACCTCAAATACTACAATGAAAGCTAATCTGGCAGCCAAAATATGCCAAAATGTAATGGTATATTGGTACTTATTTTTGGACGACGGTGGTTCCCTAAAATCTGGATATCTACAGATTTCCACTGTTCGTTGACTATTTGTATTCAATGGTTGAGTGTTATTTTCAAAATCCGTGACATTAAATTTTGCTAAAGAATAATCCAAGAAACCCTCTAAACTGTAATTATCAGAAACAGCCATTAGATAAACTAAACGTGGTATAAAATTAGAAGTGAATGCAATGATGAATCCCTGAAATTAGATAGTAGATTTACAGCAAAGATCTTTTTACAAATGTTACAATACATTAAGAAAATTTGATTACTTACATTAGTTATAACTGCTATTTTAGAAATTGAATCGAGAATTCTGTACCATATACCAATATCTGTAACACGTTGTCCAACAGGTCGACGAAACATTGTTAATAACTTCTTAGCATCCAATCGCATTTCAAGAACATTATTTAATAAAGCAAAAAATGGTGCAAGTGGAAAGGCAGCAACAAAAATAGTAACAAATCCATATTGCAACACTGAAAGAATATATTATTTAAAAAAAATCTTATCAAAGAACAAAATTCTAATTTACGTTCTAAATTCATGAAGATATAATTCATTATATTTATATTACCCATCTCCAAGTATTCTGGAAATAAACTTCTAGGTCCAAATTGCACTAATTTATAATCTTTAACCCATTGAGGATCTTTCTTGGAAGCACCTTTTTCTTCTTTTGACTTTTTTCGAGTACCAACGTGAACTTTCAACGTGTTCAACCATTTGAAAAATAGTGGATATAACATTTCTAAAATTGTATTCATCGCTTGTTTTCCAATCATAATAATGCTAAGTTGAATACATAATTCCATTAGACAACCACCAGGACCACATTCTTCTTGTCGAAAGTGAAAAAAACGATTATAATTTCCTGGATATCCAACAAATTTTCCTTTGAAAAATGCGATGTAAAATATAGAAGCATAATAATTAACAAATTCGAGTAGATATATTTTTAAAGTTAAACTATCATCAAATTCAGTTTGTGTGCGAAGAAGTTCGATCTGAAATAATAAATGTTTCTTATTATTAACAACAAATAATATTTAATTAAATATAAATATTGATTTATTACCTCTGTCAAATATTCAGCTAACCAAACATAAACCCAATTAAAAACTATAATACATCCTAAATTAATAGTAGCCGCAGTCGCAGTCGTAAATAATATAGCATAACTGGTAACCATAGGATGACCATAAAAACTCAGTGCAGTTAAAACAGACATTCTGTATAAGACTACTCCTAGTACAGCAGCCATTGCTACTGCTATCTACGAATGATATAATTAAATGATAACTTGTGTGTTTTATGATATTTAAAGTTTAAAATAAAATATTATATATACATATACATATTAAGTAAATATACCATTAAAAGAATAACAGAGAAACTAAGAATTTTGGCAGGAAGCTTCATTTTCCAATAAGGAACTTTTGGTTCTTCGGTATTTGTAATAATATTAAGAGATTTTTTTTTAATATGTGCAAGTCTTGCTAAGTAGAGTGGTCGAGGATTTTCTTCATGAGCGTCTAAACTTGTTATATCCCATCTATGTGTTATTTCAGCTGAATATTTTTTCCATAATTCCAAAAATAAAGTGGCTGTAATTATAATAATACTATATTAATATATATTTCCATAAAAAGTTATTCTTCGAGTGATCTAATTTAAAATTATCTTACCCCATAATGACATAAATACTGCAAAAAAGACTGTAGAAGGATTATCAAATAAATATGTTATTCTGGCATGTAAACATGTTTCTTTCAAATCCCAATATCCACAAAAATGATCACATAATGGACACATATCAATAGTACCATTGGCATTACATATATCTTCACTAGGTTCATTAGAATATAATGTAGCACAACTGTATATAAAACATAGGAGACCAACTATACTAGCTGGTATTAACATGTGTGTATAAAAACCCAACCAGGCAAAGTACAATCCGATTTTAACACCAAAATATTCTTTAACATAGTCTAACGGTTGATAATGGAGACATTTTCTTACACTAGCCCACTCATTATACAAAAGATATCGCATAGAATCCATAGTATGAAGGGTACCCTATGAATAATAAATATTTACCTTAAAATAAAAATATTACAAAATATATATTTCATAAAATTTAACATACGTACAAACAAATATTCAAAATTGTTATTATATTTCTTCTTAACTTTGATTATTTCTTATAAACAAGTACCATCCACGGTAATATTTTTATGGTAATTTGTCGATTCTTTATTATGCCACACAATTTGTTAATAAAGAAAACTTACCCTGAACTTGAAAATGTAACTTATTGAAATCTGTATGTTGTTAGTAACGAAAAATTGAGAATACAACTTACATCATGTAATGGATATGCTGCCACATACGATCTTTCAGAAATAAGTCGTTCAATACCAAATGCAAAGTCATCATTTCTGCCTTTAGCAAATCGTGTTCTATCCAAAATAAACTGAACTACTCTTGACCGTATTGCCGAAGTAAAAAAATTAGGAGAATCTAAATCAAATAAGTATTCTTTATCTCGACTATATATCGCAGTAAAGTTATGCTTAATTGCTGGAAAAATAGTTGTATCAACATAATAATTTTTCATAATTCTTTTAAAGAAAGAATTCACTTCGTTGATTATAACATTATTGTATGTTGGAGGATTTACTAGTTCAGGTATTTCTTTCATTGGAAGTCTAAGTTTTAATATTTCTGCATATCGTCGTAAAACTTCTCGAGGAGCATGTACTTTGATAAAATGCAAACCATTTGATTCTACTGGTTCATATTCTAATTCTAATCCTTCCTTTTGTAGATTTGTCTCAAATATCTACAAATAATATTATGTATAAATAGAGAGGAGAACATGAATAATTTCATTTAAATGAAATAATAGTAAGTGTATAGGAGGTTTACATACCCGTCTAGATTCCGTACTACGATATGTTTGTGCTTCTCCATCAAAATCATCCCAAACTAGTACAAAGTCAACAGAACGAATCTTATCTTTAAAAAATAAACTGAATCTTGTAGAACTATCAGATTGCTATAAAGAAGATTTTATATTATTAGACAAATATTATAATGTTTTATATTATAAAGTAGATGAAGACAAAGAATTAATAAAACTGTATTAATTATACAACATACATTTATCTCGCAACAGCTCCCATTCATCATAGTTTCATTATTTTCGATATCAATAGGCAATATATCATCATTATTTAAGGAATTATTGGATTGTGCTAATGTTTGATTGTGTAAACTATTCATACTTATGGCATCCTCAAAAAATGTATTTCTGGGACTTTGGTAGATAGTTTGTTCTGATCCACGATTTAAATTATCTTGAAAAGAATGATAAACGCTCAATGCAGGGGTATGACTTTCACACTGTTGCGTTAATCTCATAAATACTTCATCTTCATCATCCATATTTTACTGAAAAGATTAAAATATAAAATTTTCAAGCCAAAGAGCATTTACATTGCATAAAGACAAAAATAAGTTGTTTATTTTATGTTCTAATCAGTCGATTATTTTAAATATATATATATAATAATAATAATAATTATAATAATAATAATAATAGTGATAATAATCTTTTAAAGTACAAAGAAATATTTACTTTTATAACGAATATATAATATTAAATAAAATATGCAATATATTGCTTATAAAATATTTTAAATTTATATTACAATAATCGACTAATATTATAATTTATATAAAAATATATATTATATACAAAATTGTAATATTTTTGTTAGAATAACCAAAAATTATTATTGTATAATATAAAACTTACCAAATTAATATAAAAGAATTTACCAATTTTGATGAAGTAAAATCAATAACCAACGATTCTTCCAAGTAATCATCATTATTTTCCAATTAATATGTCTAATGCATGTGTCACATTAGTAAGGTTATGTTACAAAGTATTCTATTAATCTTAAGTACATCGTGACAAAAAAGGTCTGAGGGAATTTGTTGAACGTCACGACTGTACTCCTAGCTGTTTATTGGGTATATAGAATTACTATGGAGGGGAGAATGTGTGTGTCATAATATAAACATTTTCTACCATTTTAATTTAGATTAAATTCAATCTTGTGGCGGTAAATATTTATAAATTATTTATATTTTATAGAATTAATCAAGAATAAAGAAAAATTTAGAATAATTCTAACAGTAAGTGTGTGTAATAATTTCTTCTTAAATTAGAATAAACAAACGTTTATACTTTAGAATAAAACTAAATGTGATTATACATAAAAATAGATACATTTCCAATTTTATCGTATTCTAACCTCAAAGATTACATACATTCAATGAACTAACGACAGTTGCAGTAATGTATTAATTAATAATATTAATAATACGTTTACACTTTAATAAAGTCAGAAAGAACAGTAATAGTACAATTAAATATGTGGCATTGTAGAGAACTTAAACGTTGTGTTGATTTATTTAAATCAATATCAATTTCAATAATGAAGTCGAAACATAATTTGATAATGTATTCACCAAGGAATAATATTTCACATTTTAATAAGACTGATGTAGCATTATTATCATCACAATATAGTATTGCACATATTGAATACTGCAGTTGCATTAATAGATTGGAAAATGCAAGGGTATTTTCTACCACCACAATTATGTTAGCCAAAAGCAAGGATCGTGGCAAAGACAAGAAGAAAAGTACACAAAAAAAGAATATAGATTTTCGTGAAATGGAAGAAGTAGTAAATGTTGAAAAATTAACATTGCAACTTGACAAATTAATGGATAGATTAAAAGATAATTATATAAAGAATGTGTCGGTAAGATCTGCTGCTGGAGCAATTGAAGAATTGCCAATCAAAGTTGAAGGAACGCAATACTTGCTTCAAGAACTTGTGCAAATCAATAGAACACCTAAGACGGTTATATTGAATGCAAGTGCATTTCCTCAATATATTCCAGATATTATTCAAGTTCTTACCAAGAATCAAATGAATTTAAATCCACAACAGGATGGTACCATGATATATATTCCTATTCCCAAGTAAGTTACCAAATATTTATGTTTTATGTCACACACACACATATAGTACATATTTATTAATAGATATAGAGTATAACAGAACACGTGAAATATACATTGGATGCTGAATTATTCATCTACTTATAGTGACACATGTTCTGTTACATTTTGAATATATCTATGATGTTACAATGCATATTTTATATGCACTTTTTGATTTAAAATCTTACAGAGTGACAAAAGAATATAGAGAGAGTTTGTCAAAGAGTGCAAAGTCTTTTTATATTAAATGTCGTGATGATATGAAGGAGGTACGCAACGAGTATATTAAAAAAGTTAAAAATGTAGACAAATTACCACAAGATGTAAGTTTAAGAGTTCAAGGATACATAGATACTTTTATAAATCAATATATTGCAAAAGCTGAACAAATTCTAGAAACTAAACAAAAAGAATTAATGGGTGATGAAAAATAGATCCTATGGTCTAATAATATTAGATCTATATTAGTGTTATTATGTGCTGTTTTATTTCTTATTTCTTATGATTCTAATAGAATTACAATGTAAATGCAATACAAAAGCCTATGGAACTCTTTATACAAGATAATATACTGCTTTAATATATCAAATATATTTTTTATTATTTTTATACAAAATATTGTGCTTATAAATTATAAAAATAATTTTATTTATATTATGAATTTTTATCTAGTAAATAAGATAACATTTCTTTTATAAATTTGTTGTTTTATTGTTAGTGTTATCATTATTGATGTTATTTCTTACGTAATGCAAAAGTGCTTTGCACAAAATCGTTGAACCTTTTATTAATGTTTCTTTCGGATGAAAAGCAATGCTAAGTCTTAAAAAGTTCTTAACTGTACCATTATATGAAAACCGTACACCTGGTATTGCTGAGACTTTATATTCCTTTTGACACCAGGTAATGAAATCCGTACCATCGACATCTGTGTAAAAGAATTTGTTTAAATAGTAGATAAAATTTGAGAATATAATTTAATAAAAACACTTTTTTATACTTTGTGGAAGATGAATCCAAACGAAGTAGCCTCCTTGTGGTCGACGATAGGAACAACAATTTGGGAGATAACGATCCAAAGTTTCACAAAGTGCATTTAATCTTTCCTAAAAATAAAATAATTATTTTTTTTTCTATATAATATTATTTTTAATATCGATCATGTTTCTTATTATAGTTCATTTCACCTTATATGTTTTAACAAGAAGGTTTAGGTATTCATCTTCAATCTTTTTTTGTAATAAACTTGTTATTAAACCTGAGATATAGTGATTGGTTGCTCCACCGCTACACAATATACCTCTGTAAGATTTAGAAATTATGAAAAACATTTTTAAAAATTATTAGTGGAAACGAATATATTACATACGAAGTTTTAAAGATATGAACCATTCGTGGACTGCCTTCTATCCATCCAAATCGGATTGCTGGTGATAGTATTTTAGAAAATGATCCATTTGATAAAACGTTACCACCTTTATAGTTAGGATCTTCTGGATTATCGTAGAAAAATAATCGATGTGGTGGAAATCCGTCTTCGTAATGTAATAAATTATAAACATCCTCGGCAACAATTAGCATAGAATTATTTCGAGCTATTTCAACTAAACGTTTGCAACTTTCTAAAAATAAATAAGTAATATTAATTATAGAGAAATATTTCTCGTAATTATATCAATTTACTTGCCAGGTGGTAGAACCATTCCTGTTGGATTATGATAAGTTGGTATGGTGTAAAACATAGCCCAGAATATTTTTGCATTATCTAAATAATATTCATTTTTCTTTACTTTAGAAATAATTTTTTCAAATGCATCCAGATCTACTACATCATCTTTCATCGGCACTACAATATATCATAATAATGTATATCAAATTAAAATCAATGTTAAAAGTACATGCTCGATTTATATAACAATTTTTATATCAATTCAACGTACCAGTTATAATTTTCATTAATGGAAATTGTTTGAATGAATCTAATGCTATCATATATGTGACTTCTTCGACGAATATAATACCATTTGGTGACATAATACTTGTTAGTAAAAGTTGAAGACCATGTGTTGCTCCACAAGTTAAAATTAAATTTTCTCTTTGAACTGGATCACCATATTGTCTGTTTAAAAATTTGGCTAACTCTTCACGACATTCCCATAATCCTGATGTTATTCCATATTGAAAAAGATAAAAATTACCTTCCTTTTCTTCTTCTTCCTATAATAATGATAAATATTATAGATATACTCTGAATATAAAATTGAATTGAACGATGCTGTACAAAGTGGAACATTGTATTTCACCATTCTATGAACAGTTGCATTGGATAGCATGTTTGTGCATTTCTTAAGCAGGTCAGGACCAGGGGCACCGACTGACATATTAATTGCTTCTTTATTGTAAACGTTGAATATTGGATCACCATCGAAAAGATGTCTCAAATATGGATCTTGTACAGTTGCCATCGTTAATTTTCTATAAAATACAATAAATATAATATATACATATATTACGTTTACCAATTAACAAGTTCCGTGCCCAACTTTTTCTACCTGACTTGTCATTCAGGCCATTTAATTTTGCTTGAACAAAATCAACCATTACATGTAATTATTAATTATTGTAAATATAACAATTAAACAAACTTACGTGCGTTGTTCTATACTGTATTTTGTATAATGCATCAATATTTTAAAAGAAATATTCTTTCAAGGAAAAGTTTCGGCACGAAACCTGTTAAATATTAATTATTGCAAATCAACCTAATCTATGACAGTTTTTTACATCTAATTACGCAGTCTGTACATAGCATATTATGCAATAATGAATTTATCTTTTGAATTATTTGATTGCTAGAAAAATTATATTATCTGTTCTATATATTACTTTTATCGTACCTACATAGATGTATTGTAAAACGGATTACAATTGCGATCGATAATTGATAAAACAATAATCTTTATACTCTATAGAATTTATTATTAAAATTAAAACGATAACATATTGTCTACGTATCTAATCAAACTGTCTTTAAAAGATAAGTGTACACTTGTTCGGAGTTATTTTATTTGTATACGATTTTTCAAATCAACGATACTTCCATCGCAACAAACCTTAGAGAAATTTTATTTTTGTAATATTTTAAATAAGTTAATAACTTTGATGTCATTATAATTTTACAGTTCGATTTACAATACATTCATTTGTAGTTAGATCACAAATAAAGACGTCATTTATATAAACAAAAATATCTTTGTAATTACTTATACGAATAACTGTTACTACTGTATGTTTCCAATTAAGATTTAACTGCTTTGATATTATATCAGTAAAAGTTCACTGTATCAATATATATATGCAATATATGTATATATATATATACACATATAATAAACACAAGCACGACACGGCTTGTGCGCAACTGACGAAAGATTGAAATAACGAAGAGGATATATAGCTTGCTTTAATCATTGCACAACATTTTCCTTTCCCCTCTCTCTCTCTCTCTCTTTTATTTAATTCACTATAGTTTCGTGCATGTCTATAATTATTGTTTGCTATATATACGTGATATTGCAAAAATGTATCAAATTACTTAATAATATTCAACTTAAAAATTAAATCAAAGGTAAAATATATAGAAATGTGATTCATATATTTTACGTAATAATTTATTCACGATTGTGAATAATGGGGAAAAAAAATAATATTTGTAATTATTATATATAGATAATTTCATTACCTTTAATGATAAGAAGTCAATGGTTATTTGTGCCCATAATTATGAAAGTGATCAAAGTCATGTATCTCTTGTTTCGAGATATTTCAAGATTTCTATTTGAACATTATATGAATTTTATGTAATATTGAAAAAAAAATAAAACAAACATTAACTAACGATTCATTTTTGACAATATCGTTTTTAAATATACATTGAATTTATTTAGTTTAAAATAATGTGATGCGTAATAATTAATAAACTCATTTTTTTTTTTTTTTTTTAATTTTGACTTAGATCACTTTCATAATTATGGACACATTTGACATAAGAAAAAATGATTAATGAATTTACGAATGTTGAATGTTTTCTTTATTACAATATTTCGATATACAATGATAATTATATAAAGATCTATAAATTCTATCTCCACAACCGAATGGCAAATGTAACTTTTTCGTTAACGCTATTAGTCCTCACCGGCCGTTTTATAATAATGTACAATTTTTTTTTTCTTATATTTTTTTTTTTCAAGTTTCTTGTAGCGCTAAACAAAACACTTCACTTTTTTATACGTAAAATCGTGAAAACGAATAAAGATGAGAGTAGGATGATGAGAGGAGGAGGAGGAGGAGGAGGAGGAAGAGAAGGAAAGAGGAAAATGTGAGAGAAATATAAGGATAAAGATGTTGAATGAATTAATCGTAAAAATGATCGAGGAAAAAAGAAACGAATGAATATAATTAGTAAGATATGTGGGAGGGAGTAGTAGGGGGTGAGTGCATAAGAGAGAAAGAGAGAAAAGGAAATGTAATAAGAGAAATGACAATAAAGATACTAAATAAAACGAGCGTTAGAATATTAGAGATCTTTCAGAAAAAAAATATTTTTTTACAAACAATGTTCTTATTTTTTTTTCGATTTTTTTTTTGTTATTCAGAGTGGCGCGATGATATATATATATATATATATATATGTATATATATTACACAATGGAAGTAATCAATAATAATTAGTAACGCCTAAACACAATATACACAATTCGCACTGGCGTTCCTCCTCCTCCTCCTCCTCCTCCTCCTCCTCCTTCTCTTTCTTCCTTAGATAATTTATTAATCATATATAAGAGATCGCGTTACACGTAGCAAAATTGTTTCCTTTTATTATTACATATATATAAATATATAAAATGTTTTGTTTTAATTATATATTTTAAAAACGCATATAGAGATGCATATATAAAATTGTCTCATTTATTTTTGTGCATTATTGTTAAAGTTCTGTCTTTTTTTATCACAGAAATAATATTATGGAGGTTGCAGGTAACAATTTTGCATACGCATATACCGATTCATTATAAATGTATCGGGGATGATCGAGATCTCTTTTCTTTAAAAAACATTTTTCTCGTTTTTTTCTTTTTTTTTTTTTTTTTTAAATACGTACATAGATAATAGATCCATTTCAATTAATTCTTTGTATCTTTCCTGTACAAACATGGCACGTCCTACCCTAATGTTACATGGTGCGTCATTGTAGTTACTATATATTTTTATACAGCCCTTTTTCGATTTTAGGCAATAAAACCTACGTATTCTTCTTTTTCAAGTACTTTCTCAACTTCCACCGTTGTAGAAGTTTTCGCTTACAATTAAAAATATTATACTAAACTGCTAATTTATTTACAATTGTATTTCGTATAAAAATCAAAATCATAATGAATTCGATTTAATTCATTTTATAAAATGAACGTTTGAAAAAGAAGAGAAGAAAATATAAAACAATGGCATAACAAAAGGCATCGAAAAGATCGTCCAAACAAGCAATGTGTGTGTGTGTGTGTGTGTGTTTGGATTTAAGGATAATAAAATGATATAAAATTTGTAAGTAAAAGACACAATAACATTTTCGTATTTGTATAAGGAATTTGGGTGTCGATGATCGTTTCTTCGTCACTTTGTTTTTTTTTCTCTATATATTTCGTTCGTTGATAATTTATTCGAGAGTATTGTATTAAAATAACAAATAATAAAAACAAAATAAATGAGCTAAAGAAAGATATAAGGATAGCCGTAACAATATTTAAGTGTTCCCAAGGTAAAATAGAATGTCTTTTTTTTTTTTGTATCACAGTCAGCGGCTAACCGCACGATGCTCCGAAATGGGCAAAAATTCAAATGTTCATAGATCTTTTTAGATCTCAAAAATATATAGGGATTTGCTCGCGTCGCGTTATATAATAATATATTCAAAATTATCGATATTTCTAAATGGTCAGTCATTGAGGCAAGGTTGTATCCATCCATCCATCAGGACGAAATTGTTGTCGAATTATCGTGTCATACTATCATATATAATATATGGAGACAGATGTTTTCGATCAATTATTTATATCATTATTAGTAGGAAATTTAGGATAGGAAATTTTTCATAGTGAAAGGAAAGAGAAACAATTATGTATTGTTCGTGCAGCCTTATGCCGTTACCTTACGCCAAAGCTCACTAAAACTTACAGATTTGGAAGGTAACAATTTATTTACAAGCCATGGCAAATGGCACATTAAGAAAAACGTTTGCACTATTTTCTTCGCTTGAACGCGGATAACGTATAATATACGCTTGCTTTCGCAGATTTGTTTTATCTAAAGTCGTCCGATTTATCTTACGTTCTATTTTTCTGTTTCTCAATTTAATAATCTTTCACTGTTCCTGGTACTATACGACTTAACTCTAATCACAATCGAGCACGGCACTTGAATGAAAGCGTCCTTTGTAAGTACTGTAAGACGTACTCATTTTTGAGTAATCCTTCTTTAAATGCGAATGTTTTTCTCGTAACATTCCATCTTTATTTTCCTCATTTGTTTAATGACATATCCTTTTCATTTTTCAAATCTTATTTGTCTTGCATAATACAATGACAATTTGAATATAATCAAACGGTAGTCTCGTTTTTCCTAAAAGGTTTCAACGGTTGTAGCTCACGTTCGAGTCTGTCGAAATCATTGTAATACTCGTGATCCGATTCTTCCTCGGAACTTCTTTGTCGAACTTGAGAACCAAACGTCCCATTAGTTAAGCCCTTCTCTAAATCTGGCGTTGGAATTCCTAAAGTTTGAGGGGTGAGAGGTCCTTCGTCTTGGGACATAATATATTCTGGATTATCCAACGAAGTTTTCCCTTGAATTGTCAAGAATTCTGGATATTTTCTATAACCACTGTTCACTCGTTTTGTTTCTGAGTCTAAAATATAAATTCGATTGATTAAAATGATTGTTATGATGTAGGAAGAACGATTGAGATGCAATTTCGAAATTTGCTATTCACCTGTAGGTTTTGTGTCTCCTATGAGATCCATGTACTGAGTAGTATTCGTTGGAAGTTGTGGCGATGGCATTAAATAATCGTCTTCGTCCAATGGCAAATCTAATTTAAGATTGCCCACTTGTGCTTGTTGATGTGCCGCATTTACCTCGGTAGAATAGCAGTCGTCTGTTACGTCACAGTCTGCACATATAATATGTTAAATATGTATTAATAAATAAGTTTATGTACATAAATTTGTAAATGTGTAAATACTTTTTTTTATTATTATCGAATTTACTGACCTCTGACAACGACCATCTTTAATGGATCAGAACAGTATCTCGAACTTGAATTATCGGAACCAACAACGTGTCCGCAATGGCCATTTGGATGAGCATAATGACCGTGTTGTTGTCCGGAATTTCCAGGCTCGTGGGTTGCATTTGCATTTCCATGATTCGAATTATACCTCAATAATTCTCTATCCCAGTTTTGTTGATTTTGCGGTATAGGAGAATCTCCGGCGAGTGGTTTGCCATTTGCCCAACAAGTTTTAACAGGCGAATTTGGTGGTGAATCGGAAGTACTAGATACTGAAATGCCAGGTGGTACAGGTGCTCTCGATTTTGGTTGAAGATATTCATCGGCATCCACTAATGCTTCGGGTCCCTCCATAGCTGATGCGAGATTTCGAATCATTTCCTTCTCGTCCTTAAATGATAGACAAAAATTGATCGAACAATTGTATTTTAACTATGACAGATAATTATATTTGAATATTAGACATACCTGTAAAGTGTATGACGGTAGCCTCATGTATTTGTCTCCTTTTATTGCTAGATATCGACCAGGGTCCCTAGACATTTTAGCAAATTCTTCGGCTAGTTCTTTAAAACTCGGCCTTGACTCCGCATCCAACATCCAACATTTGATCATAATCATATAAACATCTATGGTACAGATAATAGGTTGTGGCAGTCTTTCACCTTTTTCTAATAATTCAGGAACGTTTCTTGCTGGCACGTGTTCATAGGGTCTACCACCATAAGTGAGTACTTCCCATATAGTAACACCAAATGCCCACACATCGGATTTGTGAGTAAAAACTCGATGTTGTATACATTCCAATGCTAACCATTTTATCGGCATTTTCCCACCCGCTGCTTTATATTGTTCTTCATTAATATCCAAAAGTTTCGCCAACCCAAAGTCCGTGATTTTCACACAATTAGGCGTTTGTACGAGGACATTGCGTGCAGCCAAATCTCTATGAACCAGCCTTCTTTCTTCGAGATAAGCCATACCTCTTGCTATTTGTGTACACCAATTCAATAAAGCCTTCGATCCTATTTTATCTTTGTACCTTCGCGCAAAGTCCAAGAGACAGCCTAATGGCATTAATTGTGTTACCAACATCATCTGAGATGTCATACAAACGGCTAACAATTGTAACAAATTTGGATGTTCGACGCTAGCCATAATGTATGCCTCATCGAGAAATTCTTTCGAAGTATTCGTGCCTGTACCTTCGTGTAAAACTTTGATGGCGACTGGAATTTTGACGTTCTCACCTTCCGGAACCCAAACACCTTTGTAGACGTTACCAAAAGCACCGAAACCTAATATGCCACCCTTTCTCATTTCTTCTTCTTTGATTATACGTAACTTCGCCAAATTTGGTTTAACACCTGTTGGTCGAAGTGGTTCGTTGTCATCCAAGCCTGTCAATGCCATCGTCATTTTGACTGTATTCTCTTTAGCTTTTGCATGCATTCTCCATTGATAAGTGATTATCAATACAACTAGTACGAAAATCAATATGAAAACTATGGCACCGGCAACGATAGCTGGTCGAAGTTCGTTGTCTGTTTGAAAGCCAGGACCAACGATTTCTAAGGAACAGTAGGGCTCATTATCCTGAAGGAAGACCTTATGCGGATATTCCGGAGGACAAGTTTCGGTACAATTGAAAGATGTTGTATTATCATTTGGATCACCATCCTATAATATCATTTAATTAATAAATAATATAAAAGATAGTATTGAATATGATAAATATGAGACATATACGTACTATGTAGATTTTGTAATTGCGACATTTGTAACATTGATTAGGTCCAGATCCGAAACAACCACGGCATTCTTCGAAACATGGTAAACATAATTGCGTTTCAGCATCAGCAAAATGATCAGCAGGACATTCATCCTCGCATTGTTCTCCTCTTTTAAATTTCGTACATTGTTGACACACTTGTTCGTGAAAACCATAGCCCGTGCATTTCTTACAACGTGGATGACATTTTCGACATACGGATTTACCTGCGAGAGGTTTTAAAGCACCTTGCTCTAGTGGACTAACCCACTCGTAGTAATGCCCTATAATAAAGTATAACATTTTTGTATGGATTTTGTTTGATGACGATTGAACAAAAATATATTCTTTATAATTGCAATATCAACTGCATACCATCTGGACATGGTTCTCTCTTCTGTAAACATCCTTCAGGTATATGACCATTCATAATAGCTTTTTCACAGCTGTGGCATCCGTTAGCTCCTATGTTGTTTTCTGGACCTTCACAACCGCCTACACAATTGTCATGACAATGTTTACATTGACCATTATCGTTATATTTCGAAGAGGGACATTCTTGAACACAGTAAGGACCATCTCTAACGTGTTTACATTTGGTACAATGTTCAGCATTCGGTCCGGTGCAAGAACCATCACATTCATCGTGACAAAGTTTGCAAGTTTTGTCATCTGCCTGATAAATCCTATAACATGTAAAAAAGAAAGTTATTATTTTCAATTATCATTCGTAACATTTCAAAGATTTTCTTTGTCAATGCTATTGTTTTATCTTTTACAATGTGTATTCAATTTACAGCAAGATTTACCTTTATTCCATAACTTAGGTGAGCGAATTCGATTAATCAAAAGCAATATTATTTTGAGAATGAATTCTATCGATCATTATATAGTGATCATTATATAATATAAATATATACAATTAACAAAAAATTTACTTACCCAGGTGCAATGCAATTTTGAAGGCAGTCATTACCTAAAATGAAATTTCTACAAGATAAACATTGAGCTGGTCCAGGACCCCAGCATCCTTCATCCGAACATTGCTCGTCACATACCAAATTTTCTGCTTCTGCAAAACGATACAATGCGATACGTCAATGTCACGTAACACATAAGATTCGTTTTTAAGCGAAGCAATAACGTTCAATTTCACTTACTGCAATCGGATTCATTTCTGTTGTTCATATACAAGCTGTCGTGTTCCAAGGATTTTTTAATTCTATTCCAATTAATACTCTGAGCGTAACACAAATTTTTATTCTCCAATATGGCAATAGCACCAGAATTAATTTTTTTCAATGCGCTCAAATCCAATGATACCAAGGATGTTTTTACGATATACAAAGATGAAAAATATTCTGTTAAGGTTCTACCACCGATCACTTCGAGATTACGGAAATATGAAAGATTTGTAAAATCTTTATGATCGCCTTGAATGTTTAAATATCCTGTGATTTCTTTTAACGTACTGAACACTTCCAATTTATCAGGATGCATTTTTTTATAACGTTTGGCGAAAGTAAAATTCGGGTAAATGTCTTGGAATCCTACGAAGCTTTGATCGAGAATTGTGATGGATCCTTCGATAATCGTGCAATCTTTAAAACTATCGATGTTACCGGAATGAACCTTTTCAACTCCCTTGCAAGTCTTTGGACAGGGACCGTCACAAGGTACACATTCGCCATTTAAAACTTTTTTCTTTGGTGGACAAGATCTTACGCAAGCTCCGTTATCTTTTAAAAGATGTTCCGGACATTTTCTGACACACGTTGCTCCGTAAGCATATTTTCCATCTGGATTAGCTTCCCACGAATAAGTCGTTGGATTGTACCTATTCAAATTCGTAGAGTTAATGAAAATAAAAGATCAGAGTTTCGTAGACAACAATATTTCGTTAAAATCTTACTTTTGCATTGGCGGACACTCTTGCGTACAAACTCCATCATCGAAGAAGTTCTTGCAAGCGAGACAGTCGCTTTGTTTAGGACCAGTGCAACCACCGGCGCAGAAAAGATGACAACACTCGCGTGGATTCGAGCCAAAACACCTGCCCTGCCAGCATTGTGGCGAACAGTTCGTTTTGGAAAACCTCTGACAGTTCTCAGGTCCTTCTCCCCAGCAACCCTGTTCACAACTTTTGTCGCATGCCGTGCAATTGGGTTCGCGCGTAGAAGGGAAATCATACACGTAAAGATATTTTCCACCTTGACCCGTAATTATTTCCTCCCAGTTGATAGTTTGGATGTGGCAGAGGTTGTAGTTGTTGTACATACCCACGCTTCCGTTAAGAATGTCTGCCATAGGGAAAAGTACATTCAAAATTAATTATTACATTTAGTATATAACATTATTATTATTATAGTATTATAGTATTATAGTATTACCTCTGAGGGCTGGCATCTGCAGATTTTGCATTTGACACATCGTGACGAACAGGGCGAATTCCACGTCATGTATATTGAGTTTAAAGAGGGTTCTTCCACGTATGATTTGTAATCTAGGAAGGATGAATTTCGGGACGTCCACGTGACTAATGAGGACGTAACCGGTGACTTCTCGTATATATTGAAGAAAGCTGAGATCGAGTGTATCATTCTGCAGCCACGTAATCTCCAAGTTACCGTCGACGTAAGTACAGTTGGTGTACCGGTCTCGAAGATTCCGATAATGGTGTTGTTTATTGGACGGCACGGAGAGACGACCATTTGTTCCAATGCAGACTGCAACACAAAATGAAAATATTTTTAACATCAAATAGATCGACAATGATCAACGAAGAATTTATTGAAGTATCTCGTCTAAGAGTAATCAAGTTTTTTCTTTCATTAAAATATGTTAGAAGTTTCCTCGTACGTTTAATCTTATCTTTAATCACATCAATTTGATTTCACATGGAAAGTACCCTATAGGATTCATCAAATCGTAGATTGTTTTCTAAGCTTGAAAACGTGCGATGTTAGTGGGCGAACCACTTCCATAAAGTGCCGGTACAACACCCGCCTCCCTCCTCCTCGTCATTTTGTTGCGCAATGACGCGCACTGGAGCCGGCAACGAACGTCGGACACGCGGCTTTGCTGTGTGTGTGTATGTGTGTGTACTATGCCAGCTTCGTGGGCACGAATCTCACGAGAAACGCCATAAACATCGAACGATGTTGTGACAGTGTACCTAATGGATTTTTTTGTCATTTCTTTCTTTCTTTATATTAGGTCATTAAGTATAAAATGTCTGATTTCGAACTGAATGTAATAGGAATAATCGGACGTTTCATATTTAATGACCCCAAAATAAGTAAGAAATGATCGAAGACAATATGAATTGTAACTGATAATTAAAAAAAAAAATAAAAAACAAAAGTAAATAACTAGAGGATGTAATTTGATTGATATTATAGGTAAGAAACGATTGGCAAATCGTTCGAATACTTCGTTTTATTAAATATTATTAACGTTTTGTTTCGAAAGAAAGAATAATAATAAAAAAAGAAAAAAAAAGTAAGAAAAGAAGAATGAATAAAAAGATAAAGAGAACACATAGCGGCACGTATTGCCTTTTGGAATTCGGTTTTGTTCAAAGGTACATCGGTTTGAGGGTGCTCGTTTGAGAGGGTGCTCTCTTGCGTTTCGGCGATGCGTTTCGGCGATGCGTTCCAAACTCGTCGTGCACGCGAAAAGGCGATCTTAATCTAAGCGAACGATCGGAACCATGAGAAAATAATTGCGATGGGTACTTTCTAAGGAACTCCTTGCGGTACATGGAGAAAGGGATGAGAAGGAAGGAAGGATGTCGCACAAGCTCGAAAGAAGAGTCGTCGTCGTCGTTGTCGTCGTCGTCGTCGTGTAATGCGCGCCGCTCATCATCGACGCCGAGAAAAGAAGATGGAGACAACCTTTGAAAGAACTTTTTGATGTCGAGTTGTCAGCGCACTGGTATTTCTACTGGTCAGATGTTACTTGCGATGTATGCGTTCCAAGTCGAATACTAAATCTTCCTTTCTACGATATCCGACTTATCTTTCTAAAGGAATACTTTAGAAAATTCTTTGTTTTTTCTTATCGTTTTCTATCATTAAATTCACATACACACACACATAAACGCATTTTTATATATTATTTCTAATAAATTTATGTGCCATTTTGATCGACAATCCTTTGCCACTTTTTCTAATTAAATAATGTTAAAAGATAAGACAAGATTTTTATTAACAAAAGTGATTTTTCTATCGATTAACACCAGTAAACATTGGTTTTACATAAAACAAGGTAAAAACCGAAAGAATGATTACTGATGATTGAAAATGCCGTTGCTTTTCTCAGGTAAACACACCATCACCTTTCGTACCTTCATAAATCGCGTTTACTCGTCCGTTTCTTCGATCTTGACTATTTTACAATAGTCTTCTCATTCTCTTTCTCTATTTCTCTCTTCTTTTTCTTCTTCTTTTTCTTTATTCTCCATCCAGCCGTCGTCCAGAGAGCTCGTTCCACTTTGCTTTTCGACGAATCGCACGGTCGTACGATGGAAATTTTATTCCAAAGGAAGAATAAACGAGCACCGTTTCAAGCCCTTTTCAAAGATCTATCGATTCGTCTTCTTTTCTTTCCTTTTCTACATCGTTCCGCGACTGTACCATCTGTATAGATACATTCACTGACACACGTTTTAGATGAAACGAAATTTGATTTTCAATCATCTTTTGGACATTCAATTACACCGTACAAAAGTATTAATATTTATAATATATAGAAATGCGTTTGTACATTAAATTAATATATGTTAAAATTTGCTTTATAAGGGTTGAATAATTAAATATTTTTGTTAATAACGCAACTATATTTGAATTCGTTCAAATTGCACAAACATTTTCTGAGAAAATCGAAGGTAGAAGAGAATTTTTGAGTGTAATCCTGTCAGCTTTTTTGAGACAGGTGTAGAACAACACCATGGAAGAGATGATACGATAGAAAGTATAGAGGTTGGTTTAACACTAGATTGCCCGAGATTTCTTGTATAGCTATATTGCCCAAAAACAGTCAAAATGACTGCATTGTGAAAAAATAACTAATGTGTAAACAAATTTGTTTAAAATTAATTTTTAATATTTCTTATATTATTTACAGTTATACAACAAGTTATTAGTAAATATTAACAATATTAATTAATTAATTATTATTAATTCTAAGAAATTGTGTCATTATATACATAATTGTTTTTCTAATTGAAAATAAAAAACAGTCAAAATGACTGCCTTGGGCAATCTAGTGTTAAAGAAATCAAGGATTTGGTTAAGGTCGACGAGCGAATGGCGTTTCTCGTTTCCCTTTCCCTTATAAAGGTGGTGATTATCCTTCGTCAAGGGGGTTGCGAAAATTGCCGAGGGAGCCTCTCACTCTAAAGAAATTAACATTCTGCCAAATTTACGGCTGCAACGCTCGGAGAAGACAATGGGTGGTATCGATTTACAGCTGAAGCGTGAAACCTGCCTATTTTGTAATTATAACAGGCGTTTATTCTTTCTTTTTTTTTTTTTAAAGAAGAAAAAGAAAGCACCAGAAATCAAACCAAGCCCTGTACTTTTCATTCTATAAACTTTACGTTCTACAATGTTACAAATAATGTGTATATGTGTAAGATACAGAGGGATAGAAAGAGTGAAAAGTTACGTTAACAATTTAAACAATAATATTAATAAATAACAAATTAATAAAATATTATAATTAAATGCGATTTAAATCGAATTATTTATCAATGATATAATAAAAAAAATGTCGTAGCTATAATTTTCGTAAAATAACATTTTCCATCTGCGTTTATTAGATAATATTTATCAAAGAGATCGTGCTATTATTTATTTCTTATACCTATATTTATTAGATATATTCGTCGTTTCTCGCATTATACATAAACCTATACGTTTTTACTTTTATTTGAAAGTTAGAATGGACATGGAGATCGATCGAAATCGAACGAATTTCGAAGCAAAGAAAAGATCATTCGTTGTACGATAAAGTCTCGTTAAAATGACAGTGGCTATATATGTTGAGAAAAACGGGATGGTACACAAGGAATGGTTCGAAGAGACCTCGAAAGTACCGAAATCCCGTGGCGAGAGATTTCTTTTGTGGGTGCGAGAGTCGTACGTCAGTCGGTGTGTCACATAAGAGAGAGAGAACGAAAGAAAGAGAAAGGAAAAGGGAAAGAAAAAGATGGATAGAGAAAGAGTGAGAGAAAGAGAAAAGAAAAAAAAAAAGAGAATGGGTCTGATTTTTATGCGGCACTTTAGGACGCCATTAAAGGGCCAAAGTAATACGAAATAACCGCACGGTGATACCAGCTAGCAGCGGCGCCGTTTATTTGAGCTCGTAAACATCGATGCCAAAAGAGAGAGAGAGAGAGAGAGAGAGAGTGAGAGAGAAAGAGAGAATCAAAAGATACCTTGCGAGACCCAACCGAGCAGGCCCGCGGCTAAGTGTCCGCAGAAATAAAGGTCGGCCATCGTAAACGTGCGAAATAACCAACGGCTTCGCTTCTTACCGAAGACCGAAAGTTTGAGAAAAAAAAATATATATATGCTAGAGAGAAAGAGAGATAATGTAAAAAAAGGAATGAATGATCCAAAGTAAGAAACAATAACTTAAGATGAGAAGAAATAAATAAAAAAAAGAAGAAAAGAAACATCTCTTCGAATGGTAGGAAGAAAAGAATCACTTTTAGGAATTGAATTTGTTGGAGATTATATCGAACATCGTGACGTATCGATACGATTCTATATTTTTGAACATTTACATTGATTTAATTATATTAATTATATCGATGAGAAATGTAATGGTATCAAAGGTAATTCCTAACTCTCGATTTTGTTTCGTGATATCGATGTAGATAAGTATATATATATATATAGGTTTGAGCTAAGAGAAGAAAGAGATAGAATACAAAACCGACGATATATAAGTCGTTCGTATACGCCATAATCCTGGCATAACCATCCGAAGGATAACATTAATAGCTTTATGGTTTATTGCTTCGGAGTCTGCGGTTAAGTTTCTTCGCTCCCTGCAGGGTAAGAGCACGAAGAGAACGTGCCAGTCCACGATACTCTCTATATACTTCAGAGTACATACATACATATATATCTTTCTCCCTCCGTGTACCTCCATTTTTAATCGTGTTACGGTCTTTCTTCTTCTTCTTCTTCTTCTTCTCCTCCTCCTGTTGTTGTTGTTGTTCCTTCTTCTTCCCAATGCCATTTTATTCTCTTGTTCTCTTCCCCTCGATTCGATTCGTCGTATTTATGTTCGGTACTTTAACCTCGATAGGAACGTTAGAAAGAGAGAAAGAGAAAGAGAAAGAGAAATGTTAAACCATATGTTTCTATCCCTTTTCGCTCCTGGAATTATTCTCTCTTTACGATCCTACAGAATAGCTTTACCACTTTTACGATCTCGCTTGCACGATCGATATTATTACGAGCCCGATCGAACTAATAACCACCGGTGCTTTAATAATTTTCTGCTGAACGAATAAACGAAACAATTCGTTACTCTTGGCTTCTTGATTTCTAACAGGTGGTCGATCGATCGTCTCTTACCTATCTTACCTATTCTCGATTTTTACTCATCTATGACAAATTTCGGTACTAACGTATTAACGCCATTGCATCAAAATTCCACTAATGCGTCAATTTACAGCTTAAATTGTTGCGATAAATCATAGAATAAA